GACATTTGCGGATTCGTTGCAGCATGTATCACATTTATCACCCCAGCTAGGGTGTTATGATCTCCTTTTTGCTCGACTTTCCCTCCATCAGTTCTTCCCCCACCTTCGATGAACTCGGCGAGATGCCCAGCCTGGACCAGTTCTTCTAAGTGTTGCTTCAAAGATCGATAATTCTCGATCATATGACCCATATCTCGATGATTTGAACACCTGTAGTTTTGGTTCCTTTTTGAAGGATCCCCTGTTAACTTATTGGACCACTTAAAAAATGGCTTCGTTTTGATCTGATTCAATATCTTGTAAATTGGTTCCTTGAACAACGTGTTTACCCCAAGAAAAAGAGACTTCTGGGGGTAACCTTCCTTCTCATTCTTTCTTCCGCCTTCTCTGCTCGGCTCAGTCTGCTTGTCACGACCGAACTGCCTCCTGCCTTGATGCTCTTTAATCATATCTCTAGATAAGTCGTCGTCGACCTTGACATACTTCTCAATTCTCGACATCAATTCTTCAAGATCTGTGGTTGGCCTTCTGGTGAGGAATTGATACAAAGGCTTCTCTTTTGGCAACTTGATTTTGAAAGATGCAACTACAATTTCGGGATTGCATCCCTCAACCTCATTCATCGTCTCCTAATAATGATGTGCATACTCTCGCAAAGTTTTATTATTTTTCTTTTCAAAGTCAGCAGAGCCCCAACATCCTTAGGCTGCTTACTACTTGTAATGAACCGAGCTGTAAACTACTCGGTCAATTGTGACCATCCGTCAATCGAGTCCTTTAGCAAGCCATCGAACCACTTCATGGCCGACTCCCCAAGGCTGCTAGGGAAAATGGTGCAAAGCAAGGGCTCGTTTCTTTAGTGAATGGTCATCAATTGTTTATAATGCTTGATATGGGAGGCCGGGATCGATCTTTCCATCGTAAAGCTTAAATTTTGGGACGACGAACTTGCTCGGGATTCACTCACTTTCGATCCATGTAGTGAAAGGTGACGACTCCGAGCCGTCTCCGCATTCTCCTGTCGCTCTTGTGGCTAAGTTCCTAGCCGACCTCTGTTCTGGTCGTCTAAGGAGGTTGTTGAGTTCCTCGGTGATGTACTGCTTCCAGGCATCCTCCTCTTGGATCCGAGGTTTCTTCTGCTGGTTCTTGTTGTCTTTGGTGCTTTTGATTTTGTTCGATTTCTTTTCAGGACTTTCTCGCCGGTTTTCCCTTACACGTTTCTCCTTCTTGGTCATCCCTGTTAGCTGGGCTTTTAATCTTTCGTTTTTCTTCAGCAGATCTTTTTCCCTGTCATAGGATTTCTTAAACAGCTTGTCATGAGCATCAAGCCAATCCTATAGGAATTGTACCAACTTTGCTAGGGAATGCTTTTCCCCCTCGGCACAGAGGGATCCACCACGATCTTCAATTTGTTGGTTTCAGTTTTCAGAGGATTTGAAACTTGCTGAGGACAACTCTTCATCTTCGTGGGGTCTGAATGGGCTTCTATTGATGTGCAATCTCATGTTGTTATCGGATGGAAGAGATACTGGATTAGAATTTTCCAAGGTAAAACTGTCTATGGGTGATCCGATTGCACTTCTGAGTCTCTATATTGTAGGTTTTAGTTTCGAGGGATGAAAATTTTCCCACAGACGGCGTCAAAATATAAGAGATAAAAAATTAATGATACCTTTTACAGGGAATTTGATGTGATTTTTCTGGTAAAGAATATCTCTGAACTCAATCCCCCAATCTTCCTATTCTGCAAAACAAACAAACTGCCCAAGATCAAAGTGCTTTGATCGAAGGCACTCCAATGCTTAAGTTAGTATTGGAATATAAACGTTTGTTGGAAGACAAAGAGAGTTCAACGTACCTTTCACCTTGGTTTCTTCTGCTTTTTATAGATGGTTATCTCATTAGGGTTTCCGTGATTTTTGATTCAAGGTGGCACACCTTCCTTCAATTAAGCGATTTAGTTTGGAAAGTTGTTAATATTTCTCCAACAATTCCTCTTAATATCTGTAATTTTGTTGATTCATTCATTCGAAATGTCTATGTTATAGGCGAGTCTTTATCTTTCCACACACTATTGCAAACAACTCGGTCATTTTAAGTACCAAACTCTTTCTTTGTAAACCGAGCACATCAATGAGCTCGATTTTGTAAGAGCCGATCTCTTGACAGGAACCTAACGCTTTAATCAACTCGGTTATAATGAAAAACGAACTCTTTCTTTCTTTGCCCAACTCTTTGATTAGTACGGCTTGGTTTATGAGGCTGAGTGAATGATTTCTTCATCACGTGACCTATCTTGTCAATCTCACGTGAGCTTCATTTAATGCCATAACACGTGTAATAATGAGGACCAACCCTTGCAAAGTCTATTTGATATTCTATCACTGATTAATAATACTATATGACATTAATAATATAATGTTACTGTTACCTTCAATATTTTCTCGTTTTGCCAAACTATATGGACCAAGTTGGAGACGGAGAGATTTCCATTCCTCGGATTACCCTATGTCAAATTTTATTTTTTACAAAATTATTTTTCTTAAGCATATTGTGGTTATACTTTTATAAATATGCAATTAAAATTATTATCTCTAATATTATATAATTTTTTTCTTTTATAAATATGTAATTAAAATTATTATCTACAATATTATATCAATTTTTTTTTTTTTTTGAAAAACTTGCACGATACAAGATTATTATGCAACACTAAGTAACGTTTAGAAGACCACGACTACCGTCCCCTGTGGCTCGTGCAGGAAGAACGATTCTTCTTCTAGTGGAGCCCATCTCCCTTAGCATTGTATATTAAAGTTCAATTTTTAATTTAGACTTTGGCATCCTTATCAGTAACATTAAAAAATGTAGAATTATGCCAAATTAATAGATTTTATCCGTTAATCTTATGCCAAATGAATCTCAAAATTGTATACAAATACTAGACAAACAAGTCGAACAAAACCTTTTGAGGGCTTGCCAAGTGTCCATATAACACATTAGGTCATGTAAAATCTAATGAGGTCCAAACATTAGTGACAAGAGCACAAATATAGGTGATATAGTATTCATACACACATGTGCATAGGGTATAATTCGGGCAGGTTGAACAGTCAACTCTAATATAATCTTAAGTATATAATCTTCAACCCTAATTTTTACCCTAACCCTACCTCAAGTTGATAAACTCAACACAAACACTGCCCGAGTTTAAATCTGGTGGACTCGGGTTGAATTCGATTTAATGATTTTGGACTGATTTTGAGTTACTTTACGGGCTGATTTTGGGTTAATGTTTTAAACCTGATACATATATTACATAATATTCAAATAATTTAACAACCTACAACTTCAATCCAGTTTTTAACATAAAAATCATAATATTAAGAACTCAATTCAACTACAATCATATAAAACACAAAGTCACAAACACTGCTGTCAGTGCAAAACATAACACTGCTGCTAGTTTAACAAAAATAACAATGCTGATGCTATTGCAAAATATAACACTGCTGCCTTGCACAGAACTAATTTAACAGAACACAAATATAAGCAAAACATAGTCCATAATGGTAAGAAAATTAGATTAACTCTAGTATAAATTATAAAATTGTATTTATATAATAGTAATTCGGGTTGAACCCGATTAGTAATTCGAGTTGAGCTCGATTTTAATATTCGGGTTCAACTCGTGAACCTGAGGCCCGCCCAAATTGAATTTGAGTTAAAATTTTTTGACCCAAACTCAATCTAAGTATTAACAACCCTTACTTAAGTCCTAAATTTTTCGGGTTAAAATCGGGTTGGCCAACCCAAGTTATCCCCTACTTGTGCATTGTATATATATAATCTGTATTTTTAGGATAAATTACACTTTGCACTCTAAATTACGGGTAAATAGTGGGTGTCACGGTTATTCTATATCATCACGCTGATATGGTACAGTCATCCCATGAGAAAAAAAATAAAGAGTAATATTACGTTGACTTAAAATGTGTACTTGATAATTATAATCATTAATTTTTTATGATTATCAAATTCATATTTTAAGTCTAAATAATATTTTTCAAAAATAAATAGACAAAGTGTACCCTACTTTTCTGTATGGTATGGTTATTACATGATATGGATAAATAGTTATTTAATTGTGTGAAATATATTTAGCAAACTTGTTGTCTTATCAATAGACAATTACACCATGTTAAAGTGATATTCAATACTTTCTCGTGAATTACACCCTACAAAAATTAAAATTATGTACTACATCGTTAATTAAACAAAGAGGTAGTAATGTGTTTTATTTTTTAAAAATTAAATATAAAATTTCTTTTGAAAATATTATACAAACAATTATATAAAAATAGTATAATATAACAAATACAATAAAAAATTTATCAAAAAATGGTAACACATTTTTTTTTGAATGGGACGGTAACACACATTTACTTTAAACTATTGTTATCTTTTGTGCTTGATTGAGGTTATAAAGTGAGAATATTTATATTTATATTAAATAATATGTTAAAATAATAATTTTTTATTCCAAAATAGAGAATAATTAATATAATATTATTTTCTAAAAATATAACTAGTACATTATTTTATTTACAATTTTTTAGTAATGAATTTGTTTATAAAAAAAGTTTTTTTTTCTAGAAAAAATATAGTCAAGAAATGTTTTCAGGAAAATTCGGGGAAGACTCATGCCAAGTATTACTCCGACCACGTTTGCCTTCCTCGTTTTCTTCGCACAACAACGCTGGCCATTGCCAACAATAACCTTCTCTCTCTTCCCTCCCTCCTCTCCCCCTCTCTCTCTCTCCTCTCTCATTACAAACATTCTCTGTTGTGTCTCTGTTTCTCTCTCTCTCCTCTTTTAAGAAACTATAATGTTTAACCTCTCTCCCCTGTCTCTTCCGCCGGATATCTGACGACGTAGTTCATCGCCGGAAATCTGACCCACCACCGCCCTCACTCCCACACATTACCCACGAACCATTATGGTCCATCAAACCCACCTCAAGCCCCTAGCTGCATGCTCAAACCCGACTCGACCCGACGACCATGACGCTGATGACCTCATATCTCCATTCGGGAAGCTCGATGACCTAGACGGCGAAGACCTTCTGCAAACCGCATACGAGATTTTCTTCACGGCGTGCCGGTCATCACCCGGATTCGGTGGTAGGAGTGCGCTCACATACTATAACCCGTCGGAGGGAAGTGACGGGTCCGGATCTGGACCTGGTTCACCGGTGAGAAATGGCGTGGGAATGGCGGTGACGAGTCGGGTAAAGAGGGCGTTGGGGTTGAAGATGCTCCGGCGGACGCTGTCGCGGCGGACCAGCTCGTGTGGGTCGACGCCGTCGTCGCCTACCGATGGTGGTGGTGGTGGTGGGACGGGGTCAAGCCCCGCGATAGCGTTCACGGTGCCTCAGCAGGGGAGGCCGCGGCGGCCGATGACGTCGGCGGAGATAATGAGGCAGCAGATGAGGGTGACGGAGCAGAGCGATACTAGGCTGAGGAAAACTCTCATGAGGACACTTGTTGGCCAAGTACGTAATGTATGTTGTAGGTGTAGGCTATATGGACATGAATGTTATCGAAACATAATTTTTGAACGATTTAATAATTATGGCCATCGAATACTAACTGTATTCCACAATCAATCCAATAAGGGATAATTACAAGTTATATCACGAAAGATAATTAGAATCTCAAATTGTATCTTCAAAGATCAGAAATTTTAATTTATACTCTTAAAAATATAAATTTATATTAATGTACATCCCCAAAAATAAAAATCTCAATTATACTTTCAAAGATAGAAATTTGTATCAATTTGCACTTAAAACTAAATTGATAAATTATACCTAGATCCCTCATGCTTGTTATTTAATCATTTAGATCCCTTCACATTTAGAATATTACTCCTACATCTCATGATATTTGTGCATGTGTAACACGTAATCCTCTTTTATTGATATCTGTTAATATAACCATTAAAAAATATAATTTTATTCTAATAAAAAATTATAATGTGAAATTAGAGTATATCGAACCCACAAAATAAAGAGTAATATGAAATTATAATTTTTTATTAGGATAAAATTATATTTTTTAACGGTTATATTAACAGATATCAATAAAAAAGGATTACGTGTTACACGTGCGCAAACGTCATGAGATGTAGGAGTAATATTCTAAATGTGAAGAGGTCCAAATGATTAAGTGACAAGCATGAGACTATATAGTTTTAGGTGCACATTGATACAAATTTCTATTTTTGAGGGTCCAAATTTAGATTTTTATCTTTGAGGGTGCACATTGATACAAATTTCTATCTTTAAGGGTACAAATTGAGATTTTTAATCTTTAGGGGTGCAAATTAAGATTCCAATTATCTTTTGGGGTGCAACTTGCAATTAACCCATCCAATAATCACCATGCATTAACTTCGGAAATTATTTTTCAATAGCATTAGTGCATGCATAAATGTATCCATGTAAATTTCTATGCATAGAATTAATATGAACAATTATGCATAAATAGAATTTTTATAGGGGATTTTCATGCAGATTTTACGTGCATTTAAAAACTGGGAATTGAGAATTTTTTTTCTTGATACATGCTCTTAATTCCGAATTTTGTCAATTTTGGCTGAGTAACGCTTAATTTGTTGAAATTTATTACATGTTGACAAGACCCAAAAAAAAAAATTACTGAGTCTCCATGAATTTTTCCATGGATGGTTAAACTCGATTCAGGTGGACAATGTTGAATTTGAGAGAGCCTAAATCCATTATTTTGTTTAGCTATTCTTATTATTGAGGAAGTCTTGGAAAAAGTGGTAGAATATCGACCGAACAATCAACTTTCTTTGAAGACAGTGGAGTTTCGCATCATTTTGGATATGATATAAATTCTCTATAAGTACATGATTTTTGTGCAAGAAAATCCATTCACTTTCAGGTTGATGCCAGGGTGCGTGTGTGTTTGAAAATATATGTGCAATATATGGATATGCAATTGGTGGATGGTCTTTAGTCCATGTATTAGATGTTCATAAGATTAAGGATTGTGTTTAGCTAATTGACTGAACTATAATTTGCTTAAGTTGGTTTTGTTTTTTTGATCTTTCTTTTATGTATCTGCCTCTGGGGCTTTTCTGTTATACAGTGAATTGGTATTTTCACGCTTTTGCTTCTACTTGAAGCCATGAAATTTTAGCCTAATCGATTAATCATTTTTAATTTGGCATTGTACACAGATGGGCAGGCGTGCTGAGACAATAATCCTCCCACTAGAGCTCCTCCGCCACCTAAAGCCATCGGAATTCAATGATGCCCATGAGTACCATTTATGGCAAAAGCGTCAGCTCAAGATCCTTGAGACAGGACTGCTACTCTATCCTTCAATCCCACTCGACAAATGCAACCCATTCATTGTACGTCTCAGAGAGATCATCCATGGCAGTGAGACGAAGGCAATAGACACTGGAAAGAACTCCGAGATCTTGAGAACACTTTGCAATTGTGTGATTTCTTTATCTTGGAGAAGCCCTGATGGATCTCCCACTGATGTGTGCCATTGGGCTGATGGGTTCCCCCTCAACGTCCACATCTACAATGCGCTTCTCCACTCGATCTTTGACTTGAAGGATGAAACATCAGTCCTAGATGAGGTTGATGAACTTCTTGAGCTCATGAAGAAGACATGGTCTACATTGGGAATCAACAGATCAATACACAACTTGTGTTTCACATGGATGCTATTTGAACAATATATCGTGACAGGACAAGTGGAGTTGGACCTGCTTGGTGCATCACTAGCTATGTTGGCTGAAGTAGCAAATGATGCCAAGAAAGTGGATCGAGAGCCTATATATGTTAAGATGTTGGGATCGATATTGACTTCAATGAAACACTGGTCAGAGAAGAGATTGCTTGATTATCATGGAAGTTTTCATATGGGATCAGTAGGCCTGATGGAAAACGTTCTTCCATTGGTATTTTCAGCTACAAAGATATTGGAAGAAGATGTTCCAGGAAATACGACTACAGCTCAAGAAAGAGGGGAGGTACCTTCTAATTCAACAGGGAATAGGGTGGATTACTACATCCGATCATCGTTGAAGAATGCATTTGCAAAGGTTTGTCTATTAGCCTCTTCGCCTGCCTAAGTTTCCATTTGGTTTACAATCTAATCCATGTGTTTCTATCTGTTTTTTCAATTATTATGTTCAGAAGATGCTGGAAAATGGAAATGTCAGTGCCACAACTCTAGATGTGCAAGAAGTGAGTGAGGTTCTTGTTAAATTAGCTAAAGAAACTGAAGATTTAGCTATGAAGGAAAAAATAACTTTTAGTCCCGTACTCAAGAAATGGCACCCAATTACAGCCGGGATTGCAGCTGTAACACTTCATTCTTGCTATGGAACCTTATTGAAACAATACTTAGCTGGGGCATCCTTGCTCACGAATGAGATAATCAAAGTGTTGCAGAGGGCAGGGAATCTAGAAAATGTTTTGGTTCAGATGGTGGTTGAAGACTCTGTTGATTGTGAAGACGGAGGCAAAACAATCGTGAGGGAGATGATTCCGTATGAAGTTGATTCAATCATATTAAGCCTTCTAAAACAATGGATTCAAGAGAGGTTGAAACAAGGGAAGGAAGTTCTTCAAAGAACAAAAGAAACTGAAGTGAGTTTGACATATTTCTTGGAAAAAAAATGTCTATATAATGTTTAACTCAGAAAATTACTGTAGTTTAATTTGTATACAAATGCTGTAGACATGGAACCCGAAGTCCAAAACTGAGCCATATGCACAATCAGCTGTAGAGCTAATGAAACATGCCAAAGAAGCTGTGGATGATTTCTTTGAAATTCCAATAAGCATTTCCGAGAATTTAGTTCATGATCTTGCTGATGGCTTGGAGCTTCTCTTCCGAGACTACACTACCTTCGTGGCATCATGTGGTAAAATTAACTCTCATTTTGTTCACTTTGCTATCATTTTGATTCATCACTAAAGAAAGATGATCATGAGCCAATCCACTTGCTAGTTTAGATATTTTTCTATGGATGATGCTATGACCCCATGTTTTCCTCTGTTTAGCTCTAATTTTTGCTATCACTGTAGTTGTTTAATGCATATTCGGCTTTGAATTCAACTTCGCCTTTTTTACACCAACAATTTGCATAAACACATCTTCTACAAATTTTGCTCTGTAAACTCATTACTGCTTTTAATTGTTTGCTTCGCACTTTTTTTGATTGTCTGCAGGATCAAAACAGAGCTATATCCCCACCCTCCCTCCTCTAACACGATGCAGTAGAGACTCAAAATTCCTGAAATTGTGGAAAAAAGCTAGCCCTTGCAGTGTTGTTGTAGAGAATCCAAACCAGAATGAATCAAATGAAGGCAATCATCCACGCCCTTCAACAAGCCGAGGAACACAACGCCTCTACATTCGCCTTAACACCTTGCATTATTTTCTTTCACAGCTTCACTCACTTGACAAAACAATATCCCTCTCCCCCCGAGTTGTTCCCTCACCACACTACCGCTTCAGTAACAATCGGAGACAACATGGTAGTCCCTACTTTGACCACACCCGTTCAGCCATTCAAGTAGCCTCCCAACATGTGTCAGAAGTTGCTGCCTACCGTTTGATCTTCCTTGACTCGAACAGTGTATTCTATGGAAGTCTATATGTTGGTGACGTAGAAAATGCACGTATTCGTCCAGCTTTAAGAATTTTAAAGCAGAATCTTACTCTTTTGTGTGCAATGGTCACAGACCGGGCCCAACCACTAGCATTGAAAGAACTTATGAAGGCCTCTTTTGAGGCTTACCTAATGGTCTTGCTAGCTGGGGGAAGCTCCCGAATCTTTTCGAGGTCAGACCACGAAATGATTGAGGAGGACTTCGACAGTTTGAAACGCGTGTTTTGCACATGTGGAGAGGGTTTGATCGTGGAGGATATGGTGGAGAGGGAGGCTGAGACAGTGGAAGGGGTGGTGGCATTGATGGGTCAATCAACTGAGCAATTAGTTGAAGATTTCAGCATTGTGGCTTGTGAGGCAAGCGGGATAGGCGTGGTGGGCACAGGGCAGAAACTGCCTATGCCTCCAACAACAGGAAGATGGAATAGAGCAGATCCCAATACGATATTAAGGGTATTGTGCCATCGAAATGATCGAGCAGCAAATCACTTCTTGAAGAGGACATTCCAGCTAGCAAAGAAGAGGTAATGAAAGTATTTTAATATGTATAGTGCAAGATTACACATTTCTGGAATACTGGTATTTGCATTGTATTAGAATTATGAAAAAAAAAATGAAGATGCATTGTAACAGAATTCTTTGTACTTTTAAGTGTATTGTCAAGATAATACTGGGGGATGAGAGAGCCTTATACTAATTGTGTTCTTCAATTTTCATAGCACTGAGCAATATTAGTACTTTCTATTGGGATATGCAAACCAAAACTTTGCTTCTTTTGTAGAACCTCTAAATCCTCCATTAAGTGTTCAAATAAACCTCAAAAATCTGAAATCAAGCCTATAACGGTGTGTTTCAGTTTTAGGTTGATCAAAACCTTGATGAACAGCGGCTCGGCCCTTGGTTATGTCCTTTATGCTTGACTCCATGTATAAAAAGATCTTCAAGTTTTTTTGTTCATTCTCAGCATAGTCCCAGTTTAAGTGTTGATAGACAGATCATGAAACATTGTTAATCCCAGGTTGAATAGTAGAGCAATATCATGTCTACTACATCTTACAAGAATTAAGGTCTTCTAGGATTTGTTATTCTACAAGGTTTATATTTCTCTGCACACTTTGATTATTTTTTGGTCTAAATATGCAATTTAGGAGAACCATTGCAGGGAATTTTTTTTTTTCCTCTTTATAGTGAAGTACAAATACAATACAAATATCATTCTGCACCCAAGGGAAGTGGGGCTGGTTCACCGACAGATGGCCGAGAAATTCGGCCCATGGTGGCCTTATTTCACACTTGCATTGTAAGGGTGTATACAATACATGGCATAGTTGACTGGATTGAACACACCCCAATAATTGCCGTCTCAGAAAACATAACTTCTACTTAAAACTTGTGAGTTATTTCTCAAAGTTGAAGCCCAGGATACACAATTTGTAATCTCTTATTCTTCCCAACTTGCTTGATATTTAGCTCTTGTTAACTGCTAGATGTACTTGTTTGGTTTACTTAACCTTGGACCCCTCCAATTCTCCTTTCAGAACTTCCATCGAGTCAGAAACTTCAGCTTTGTACTGATAAAACTTGGTCACAACCAAGTAGAAAATGAAATTCAAAGAGCTTAGTATCGCGAGGAACATGAAATAGTGAACAAGACGAGAAGCGTTGAGGTTGTTTAGGATCCATTCTTTGGACCATGCTCCTTGGTAATGTGGAAAACTGTGGTGAGAAAGAAACTGCTAAGGAAGTTCCCAATTCCCACACTAGTCATAGAGTAAGAAGTTCCGAGACTCTTCATCGGGTGCTTGATAATAGAGAAACTCGAACTTGGCTACCTTGGAACAGGCGTCTGCCACACCCATGAGCACAAATTGAGGAAGTAAAATGAAGATTCATAGAAGTACTTGTCCTCCACTTTCAACCAAGCCATGTTTTTTTGGCCACACTCAGCCTGTACCTCTCAGTTAGGGAAGCTATGATCATGAGAATGATGTGAAGTGCCAAGCCACATCCTAATCTTTAAAAGAGAGTGATCCCTCTCGGGTTTTTTGTCCACTTTCTTATGATTCTGATGAACACACGGTCATACAACACCACGATACAAACAAGCATGGTCATGCCGTCACGGTCACAAAGGCACCTAAGCTGGCTGGGGAGCTTGAAATGAGGACCCATGCATGCTTCTATCAAGAGTAGTGCCTTGCTTGATGAAAAAAGCATTGCTTTGAGCAACCATTACGCTTGGGAGGAATGAGGTGATGAGGATTGTGTTGTATCTACTCCCAAACTATATTTTTAAACCATTTCAAATTTAATTTTTCACTCATCTTATTTCACTCATTCACATTTAGCAGATATTATTTTAATTCATTAATGAGTAATTTTTTAGTAATATGAAGATTAAAAAAGGGTGAAACAAGGTAATTGTAGAACAGACAAATTCCATGCATTGCATAAAGACGCTAATTTCTATATTTCATTCCTTTTCTTTTAACAAAGTGTACAAGTACAATTTTTTTTCAATGAAATAAAGAAAAACTTAAAGCACACTCAGCCCAACAGCCAACACCCAAAAGGTAAATCACATTGTCTCCAAGTTGCATGCAGTCTTGTTTTTCCTTTTCTGAACTTTCTGCTCTGCCTAGCTTGCCATGTCTACTTAGGTCCTCTGTGCTTCTTGATTAGCTAATCTATGGGTTGATCCTCCCAGTGATTCTGTAAGAACTGCCATTGAATCCGAGACTTCTGCCTTATATACATAGAACTTAGTCATGACCAAGAAAAAAATGAAATTCAAGAAGCTTAGTAATGCGAAAAACGCGTAATAATAGTCAAGGTGAGAAGCATTGAGGTTGTTCAAAATCCAGCCATGGTGACCATGCTCCTTGGTGATATGAGAAACTGTTGAAAGAAGGAAACTGCTTACGAAATTCCCAATTCCTAGAGTGATCATGGCATAAGAAGTCCCAAGACTCTTCATGCTTTCAGGTGCTTGATCATAGAAGAACTCGAGCTTTGCCACCTCTAGAAACGCGTCCGCGGTTCCCATAAGCACAAATTGAGGAAGTAGAATGAAAATTGTTAGGGGTACTGGTTTTCCATTTTCGACTAGACCATGGTCCTTGGCCACATTAAGCCTATGCCTCTCAGTTAGGGATGCAATTGTCATGATACAAATGTGGATGACTATACCAATTCCCATTCTTTGTAGAAGAGTGATGCCTCTTGGGTTTTTTGTCCACCTCCTCACTATTCTTACGAAGAATTGGTCGTATAGCACGACGCAGATGAGCATGGAGATCGTTACAAACGCGGTTAGGCTGGCCGGAGGGATTTTGAAGCTCCCAAGATTTCTGTTCAGAAGGGTGCCTTGCTTGACAAAAAGGGTGTTGATTTGAGCAATCATGGTACTGGGAATAAATGTGGCTATCAAGATTGGTATCATTCGGAGCATTTGCTTTGTTTCCTCAACTTGGGTGACTGAGCATAACATCCATGGATTGGTTGAACCTGCTTGGACACAAGCTTTGTTGAGGAATCTGCAATAATATTAATGCATGTGTTAGAAGATTATGAAAGGGAAAGCATTTTTAGCAATGGGTACATGTTGAGCCCAGGTACCCCTAAGGTCCATCAACTCAGAATGAATCCAATTTTTATCAATACATGACTATTTTGTGTAGAAAATTCTTCACAAATATAATTTCTGACAAGAATTCTCACACAGGACAATATGAGTTGCTTGGTTTAAAGTTGTTTAACAACCATCTATTCCAAAAGTTTAAGTTGTTAGAGAGGATATAACTTAAGTACTTATAATTCAACACATCCCCTCACGTGTATGCTAGATTTTGATAGGGCCGTTAATTGAACCGATGCTAAAAAATTGTTCAAGCTCGACTCGTTTTAAAAATAAGTCGAGCCCCAATCGAGCCAAAACTAGGCCGAGCTTTGTGAGCTCGAACTGAGCTTTTATGGCAAGTCTTCTCCGAGTCCAGCCCGAGTAACTCCGTTCAATTATCAGTTACAAATTTTGGGTCTAGCATGTGAAAACTCTTTTAATAATTAGGGTGATGATGAGATTCGAACATAGGACAACAACTCAAACTTTTGGAGTAAGTGATTATTTAACATAGTATCAGCAGAGCAGGAGGACTTGTGTCCAAGTTTCGCCATCACTCTAATTATTAAAAAAAATTTACATGCTAAACCAAAAATGTACGCGATGGGACATGTTGAAGCATAAATACTAGAGTTATATTATCTCTAACAACTTAAATTTTTGAGGATGATTGTTTAACAAAAGAAAATAACAAATCTTATTTGAAAGAATTGAACACAAACCTTAATGTTGGTGTAGAGTCAATCCTAAACTTTCCTCCCTTGGTGTACTCTTCCAAATCAAGTTCATAGAGCTCTTTAGGGTCACTAGGAACAGGTACAGTCCACTTCCTTAGGGCAGCCACTATGACCTTAGCCATCCTTGTGAATGGACTCCCAGAGGGAACCCTATGTCTATAAAACGGTGTTCCAACCAAGAAAATCAGAACCGATATCGCAAGGCCCAAGGTGGGAAGCCCATATCCAAGGGTCCAGCCCACATTGTCTTGTATATACACAAGAATTGTGTTGGCAAATAGTGTCCCAAAGAAGATGCTGAACATCCACCAGTTGAAGAATGAGAGCTTCTGAGCTTTCTCCTTCGGCTCGAAATCGTCAAACTGGTCGGCTCCGATGGTCGAGATGTTCGGCTTCGTCCCACCGGTGCCCACTGCCAAGGTGTAGAGTGCACCATAGAATACTGCTAGTTGTAATGTGGATGCCTTCTTACAATTTTCTACATTTTGATCCACACAGCGAGGGGCCTTTAGTCCAGGGACTGAAACTGCTAGGGTTAGTACAGACATCCCCTGTAAACATGTCAAAATAAACCCAATGGTACATATAGGATGAATGATTGTTTTTGGCTGACAAAAGATAATGACAGTGACTTGCATAGAAAGTAGTATTAGTCTTAACTTTCTTGTTGATGGTTAATCAGTATCAATTCGACAATCATACGATCTATAAATAGTTTAGTTTGGTATAAGAACATGTGATATGATTAATAAATAGATCGGATTATGATTGGCTAATACTCAATGCGAAATTGAGATAATACGATCTAAATACGACACAAATACGAAATTGAGTGTGTGTGTAGGTGAGAGTATGTTGGGTGCATGTGTAGGGGCAGCACTGTGTTATATTAGGATCATGTTATTTCGATTTGTATTTAGTGTTAGTTTATCCTAACCCAATTCATCTAGACAATTGTATCGTATATCTTGGCATTAATCTAACCCGTTTATTTACCATGTCGTATTCAAATTAACACGAGTCCATGCCTTCATGGTTAAAAAACGAGCTTATCATGTCAAAATCAAATTTATTCGTGTTTGACACAAATACAATTAACCTGTTTATTATACTTGTTAACGGGGATAGTACTATATTCAAGTTTATATGGCGAACTAATTGACATAGGCTCGTTAATTTTGTATCAAAACTCAATCCACTTCTATCCTCTTACTATATTTAAGTTGACTGTAGGCCGACTTGATTCGAGGTACGTACAAGACAAGCAGCTGAATTTGTGGATCATGTCAGTAGACCCTATTAAGTTGGTCCAAGGCCTTGAAAACAATGTTCCACTTGTCCTCTTTATTTAGATTATTATTACTGGTTTATCGCTTAGCTTAGTAGTAATTTTGCATGACCAAGACATCTTCCAGGTCTGCCTTGCAAAAAAACAATAATATTCATTGGTCAAACTTTCATTTTAAACAATGCCCATGGTCTCAAAATTCTAAGAAGATGGGACCCATAAGCATTACTTTGATTTTTGAGAAAATTGATGGATAACTTTTGAGGTTTAGTGAAATTACACTATATCTGCTGAGAGTTTTCAAAAATTATAGAAAATTGTCTAAGGTTTGAGACCAACTTGCATACTTAATAGTTAATACTATAGTTTATGTTGTCCTTTATAGAATTAAATTTGAGAAGTGTTGAGAAGGGGTGAGGAAAGAGAGAGGTAGAGAGGTTGGGTGGGATTTTGTTTTTGGGTTTTGTATGGGTCGTGATTTCGTAATCGTATTTGTGTTTGAATTTTTATTCTACTGGGTTTGACTATAAATTTTAAAACCTTCAATGACATCAGTGTAATTTGCGCTTTATTTTATTGACCTTATGTTCAATAATTGAACATATCAATCATGTATTACAGATTTCGTTTGAAATTAAACTTTCTCGTATGGAAGTATTCGAAAAAAATGGTAAACATAATAGTCAAACAAACAAAGCAGACAATAAGTCCCATCCTAACTAGCTAGTAGACAACTTTGATGCTTATTCCATATGATCTATAAACAGCTTTATTAATACTAAACGATACTTCTTAAGATGGTCTCAAATACGTTATTAAGAGCTGTCTAATTAACCCAAATCCACTCATCCCAATTGATTAGTATATTGGAAACAAGATTTTTATAGCAAAGGTAGAAGGCAGGCCCTAGTGCATCGGTGAGATTGTTTTATGACTTTTGTGATTTAGATGTCACGGGCTCAAATTGCCGAAACAACTTAACAACTTATCTATGTACGGGTTAAGGTTGTGCCCTTCCTAGATTTCACAGTGACAAGTGTTTATGTAGTGGGTTGACTTTTTCTCTCTTTGCTGCCTAAGATAGCATTCGGTTTTTGGAAACAGAGCTTTCAAGGTCACAAGGGATATGCATATCCGTAAAACATACGAACCCTCGACCTACACTTATCAAGTGATTGAGCTGCCACTAAATTAACCCCGAGATCTAGCATTCTTAGCTCTACCCAACATTATCAAACACACTGCATATAACACATACGTGTGTGTAGTAGATGAGATATACCGCAAGATAGATTGCAGATGCAATCACGAACGTCCAATAGCGTCCTAGATGAGCGTCAGCAACGTATGCACCCAAGAGTGGAGTAACCCAAACCGTGCCAACCCAGTTGGTGACATTGTTGGATGACTTGACAGTGCCCTGATGGAGTTTCTTGGTTAGGTAAATGACCAAGTTTGATGATATACCATAGTAGGCCATGCGTTCAAACACCTCATACACTGCACCACCCAAGTCAACAAAATGGTTATGAAATGATTATCTGCACGAATAATATTTAAGTGCAAGTTGGTTGGAGAGTAGCTGTGACATAAAATATGCAATGCAGAGTAGTATCCGTTACGACTGTTAAACAATTTGAGTAGATCGAGTTCGGTTTGGATTGATTTAGTTTAAGTTTGTTTAGACTCGTTTTAAATTGCAAAATGATAATCTGAATTTATCAAAAATTTGAGAAATTGGGGGGAGGGGGTGATTAGGATAATACCAGGCTTTAAGATTGACAATGCCATATTCATTTGGAGCACCTTAAAGAAAGGTAAAGAAATACTATGTATTCCAAATTTTTATCTCAAATGAAGGGGATTATTGGATGAGTGAATCCCATTAACTTTTTCAAATGGGATCCACGGATTCAATGGTCCCTTGATTTGAGATAGAAATTTGAGTTACAAATTTGGCATACATAACATTGTTATAGCGGTTTTGCATATTCTTTGTGTCGTGTGTGTGTGATCACTCATTCAAGCTACATGTATCAATAAAGAACTCGAGCCCAGATTTTGTTGCAACTCGAAGAATTAAGGTATTTCATGAATAATAAATTTTTCCTGACTTGACTTCAAAGGATTGTCGAATTCATGACGTCTGTATTTAGTAATTATCACTTGTGTGTTCTGTAATCATGTTCAAACCACTTAAATCAATTATCCCTTAAGAAATCTCATATTTGTTTTACTTCTTCGGTTTCATAAATATACTGATTTTTAATTCTATTATTTCTCATTTTACTACCCATGTATCTTAATGTCCTCATTTCTGCCATCCTTAGTCTTGTAAGTGCGATTGTTTCTTAATTATCCAATATATACCATAAAACATTGCTGCTGGACTAATTGCCCAACAAAGTCATCAGTGCAAAAGAAGACTCTATGGGTTCAACCCATCTAAAGGATAGATCCATCATCTATTCTCTGAACACCTACTGAACTCCCAAAGCAAGAGTCCCAGACTGAAAAGCAAAAAAGACTAACTTCCAAGGTTCGTGGAGCCACTGTGGATATATACCAGTGACTTCTAAACCATAAGGTGATCACTACAAGCCACAGTGCCCCCAAAAATGTACCCCCAAACAAAAAACCCACCCACCCACCCACAGAGAGAGAGAGAGAGAGAGAGAGAGAGAGAGAGAGAGATACCAACAACAAAGGAACAAGCAGTCCATCCACCTCTCTTGGATCTAAGGACAGGGTTCCCTTTGAGATCCACAGTCCCATCTTGTGTGTAGTCATCAGGTCCTTTTTCTTCTACAGCCATGATGATTTTGCTGCACCACAACCTTTTCTACTTGGTTCGGAGAGAACTTTGGTTGGTTCCTTTTCTTTAACCCCGCCCATTTATAGAACTCACCTTCTTTTCCCACTATCTACTCATGATAACAAGTCAACCAACAAGCCTTACTTAAATTTTCAACGGCAACCGATGCGCAAATAAAAAAAATGTAAAAAGCAAAAAAAAAAGAAAGAAAGATAAATTAGATATTAAATGAAGGGACGTACCAATACAAGTTGTGCATTAAAGTACAAAAATATCTTCTTCAACTTGTGTAATGATAGAATTGACCATTTATTACTTTGTTCGTGGTCTAAATATTATTTGTAAGAACTGGTCACTTTGTGGTCCAAAGTCAGTGGCGGATTTAGTATGGGGGAAGTGGGGCAGCTCCTCCCACTGAAATTTTAAAAAATTTTGAGACTTAGGTGTAATATTAAAAATTTCAAGAATTTCGTCAACTTGTTTTTACTGAAATTTTCTTAAAATATAGGGTATATTAATATAATTTTCAACCCTTTTGGTAGCTCCTTCTCATTTTTCACGTTTGACAGTTGGCTCCATTGAAATTTTAAAAAATTGAGACCTAAGTGTAATTTTAAAAATTTCATGAATTTCTTAAATTTACTCCACTAAAATTTTCTTAAAGTACATGATATATTAATATAATTTTAAACCCTTAAAAACTAACTTTTGGCAGCTCCTTTTCACGCCTGCTTTTTTTTCCGTAAGCCTTCATCTTCTTCGTCCAGACTTCTAATCCAGTCCAGGCGTCCAGCTAGCAGCCCCTCTTCTTTCTTTTATTTACTTTCTTTATTATTTCCTTTGGTGTATTCATCAACAAATCACCCATATTGAATTCAATCATTGAACAAATCAAATTTGAAGAAACCCTAAAAGATTATGTTGAAGCTAAGAAGAGGTAATCAATTAACCAAATTTTTTGATAGTAGTATTAGCACTAATCTAAAATTAAATTTTTTATATTAGAAAATTAGTTTAACTCTTGTAGAATTGATGGTTGTTTGGTCACTTTTGTGTATTATTTATGGACTTATGTAGGTTTTTTTTTTGTTTCATTTTGGGTCACCACTCAAGTATTTCGAATTTTTGTTAAAGCCCTGTTCAAATTGGTTATTTAAGATTCTTGGTTAGTGCTATTTTTCTTCCCTATGATTAAATTGTTTTAATTGATTTCTTGAAATTCTAGTTAGGATTATATTTTGGATTTATAGATTATATTTTGATTATGTGTAGTCCATTATCTCATTTGTTACGAACTTAATGACGAACTCTTAAACTTGAATTTAATTAGACAAATTTATTTAATCAACTATGAATAGGTTGCACCCACTGAGACAAAATCCTAGCTCCGCCCCTGTCCATAGTATAGTGGAAAAAATAAGTATGCCTCGCCATTTTGAAATGTAGACCTGACCAAAATAAGATGGCTTGCTGGGCCACGTATTTTTTGTTTTCTCTCTTATATCTAATGCATGATTACTTACCTAGCAATGGGAAACTCTCTCTCTCAATGTATATAATATATGTCAACTATTAATTCTGATTTAAGATGGTGAAGATATTCAACTATGAAAAATTATAAGAAAGAAAAGAAGAAGATTAAAAACGCATTTTTCAAGTACTAAATGAAGGAATTTACTTAAAATCCACACTGGGCATCACATCCCCTGTTAAAGGTGCCATAAGTTTATTTTGTCCAGCCATTTTGATTGGACATAAGGTTTCCGAAACCTATATATATCAAAGTGGCTCCGAAAAAGTCAAGCTGGACCCGCCTTTATATCGATCCTAATGATCCAAGTACTTTGCTATGATCCCATCTACATCAAAGGGTAAACTATGATTATGACTCTCTCTATATATATAATATATGTATGTGTGTGCGAGCGTGTTTCAAATTTTTTGTATCTATCAACATTGAATTATTGAATATCTGTGTATCATCTAGAAGGTGGTAAAACCAGGGTGGATTAAGCAGAAGGTTAATAAGCAATCAAAGTAGAAAATTACACAACAATTGTATAATATAGCTAGCTCTCCAAACACATCAAATCTCCATATAACTTAACAATAGACTTTTGTTTCCTTTTGCACGGGAGAATTCCTACAACAGTTTGAGATAATGATCTTTTGACTGGAGAACCTGCAATAACCATAGCGTCAGAAAAAGGGCTGAACACCCGGCTTATCCCTTCCGAAGCTTAAGTCAGTATCAGATTAAAGGCTTGAGCACAATATATTTGTATCTTGATTCAAGGTTGCGTACCATTGTTCACTTTTCTGAGCAGTATTTATACTTGGATTAGTAATGAGTGCAAAGGTCTCCAGTTTCATCTGAACATTCAATGCCTGACACTTTTACCCATGAAGATTTGAGCACTCTCCACCCAGATCTTCACATATTTAATGTGAGGATGATAGGATAAGTGCTCGGTGACACGCCGAGCATTTATGGCTATTCCCGAGCACTCAAGTGTCTTTGATCGGCACCTAACGCCAACTACTGAGCATTAAATGCTCGGAGGAACAGTTTCCCAATGTACACCGAGGAGGCATACTTGGCGTTGTAGCCATTAATGTCTAGCCATCATGACTGCAGGCTTAAGCTTTTGAGGGTGCAAAGACTCATTAATGGCACTATCTCTGTCATTTACATCATCATAAATGAGTGGTTAAGTCGCATTAAATACGGGTGTCATCTTGTGTACTCGGCTCTTCCGAGCCATCATCTCTCGGCTCCATTCCTTGGCGTCCTTTGGGCCTCATAACGGTTACAATTTTACACGTGTCAATCAGGGGTTGCTGTGCCGCCTAGAGTCCCGCCACCTACCCCCCAGCTTTCATTCTTTTTGCAGCATGGATAGGTGGTGCAAGGAGATTAGAGACTTACCAAACACGCCTCATTAATATAAACGGTTACTTGCACATCCGGCGTCGCCCTTTTCAAATCCCCTAATGATAACTTGCCTTTTCAATTCCCCCCCCCCAGGAGGGTATAAATAGGAGATGGTTGAGTCATTTCAGAACTTTGCAACTCTGAACCTCTCGAGCGTTCGTCGTCCATCTCCGAGCACTCTTCTGTTATTCTTTGAGTTCCCTCTTTGAAGATCCTTTATCGGTAAGCACTTCCTTCCTTTCGAATCCGTTTCTCATTTCTTCTATTCTTCTCTTTAGAACCCACCAATGGCTAGAACTCGTAGGACAGTCGAGGGAGCACCCTTCAGGGCTAGGGTCAACTGTAAACTGAAGAGGACTAAGGTGACTGATGAAAACATCCAAGCCTTTAGGGTTAGATACCATATCCCTGAGCCTGTCTTCACCTTTCCTTTCGATCCCAAGTTCCATAGGAAAGACATAGGGAGCGAAGAGATGATGCCCTTTTACACCAAAGCCATCATGGAAGGGGGAGTCACATTCCCCTGCCATCCTCTCCTTTTAGGATGTTAATGCAGAATTTTCCCCCTCCAGTATGGGGTTAACTTCTTTAGGATAGTTATGGGCGTAGTCGCCCTCAATGCTCGGCTCGGGGTGGACCTGGGGGTAGATGAGATCCTGTTTTGCTAAGACTTAAGGTTAGTCGCCGGGGGCAGGTATTACCTCCAGACTCAGGACACATCCATATACCTGGTCACCCACATGCTAGACTCGAACAAGGGGTATGTTGACGATCTGGTCATGCTTGACGGTAATTGGGGGAAAGGAGATGAGCCCGAGTATGACAGATTATACTGTCCCAAAGTGTCGAGGGATGAAAGTGTGTACTGCACATATCCTGAGTTTGTTCGGCATCTTGTTGGCGTGGCTAATCTTATTTGTTTATTTTGCATAGGGACATCAGCAAGACACTACTCAACCTCTAAGGTCCCAAGTCAGATTTGTAGACTTGTTGAGAGTTTAGTCCCACGACCCAGCCGAGCGAGCGACACACTTACTCCTTGGCTACGTGCCAACCTACAACAAATTCTCTCAAATCCTCTTACGATCCTTCTGTGTGGGAGGATCATTCTTCATCGGAGGAAGAGGAAGAAAACCTTGAGGCCGACCCCGATCGGGACTCCGAGCACACCCCTTCCCCATCCGAGCACATAGTCCCCTCGAAGAAATGTTGAATCCACCACCAATTATAGTCGCAAGCATGGAGGCTACCGTTGTCATGAGGAGAGCCAGGCTCTCAGGGCTTGCCGGGCCTTCAAATATTGCCCCGATCATCCCGTCGCTGGTTTCACCATGGAGGCAACCACCCTCTCTGCCGCCGCGTCCTCAACTGTCAGGGGACCCTGTTATCCCACCAAGGGACCAGTCCCCGAGCCGCCAAGTCCCTTTCTCGGGCAATTGGTAGAGGGACCGAAAAGGCCGAGAGCCCGAGGGGTCTGAAGAACGTCGACAGAAACGCTGACTTGATGTCTCGGGCCCAGTCACCTCTATCGAATGAGCTCCTTGGGCAAAAACTAAGAGGGGCCGCCTTGTGTTAGGGGTGGATTCGATCCTTCAGTCCCCAGACGTTGCATTCGCCGTCTCGGGGACTTTCCAATTTGAGGCCGACATGGCCGTTTACCTAGGCTATGAGGACAACCGGCTTCTCCAAAGCACCATTCAAAGCAACATGGTGGTGAGTGCGCTGTCTACCCCCAACTTCTTTTTGCTTTGCCTAATTGGCCATTTCTAACTAAGTTTTTTTTTTCCATTTTCAGGCCTGCCAACAGATGGGGGCCATCGTCAAACATTTTCGAGAGTACAAGCAAGCGGCGAGGAACGCCGACGGAGCCCTGACTGCCAATGATGAACACATCAAAGGGGTGGAGAGGACGCTCGCCGACCAGAGCCAGCACATCACCGAGCTCATCCACCAGCGTGACGCTCTTGCTGCCGACGTTAAGAAGGCGAAGACGGGTGAGGCCGAGGCCATCAAGAAGGTCGAGGAGTACAAGCTTTAGGTGTCCATCGCTGAGGTTAAACTGCAG